CATGTTGCACATGACGGACATTTTGATCCCTCAGTACAACCTGTCTTTGTACAAGCGCAGGCGCCCTGCAGGTGAAGCTACAATGCGTGATGTCACACCGAAGATGGAGCACCTCCCAGTCAGGTTTGTGCAGGTTCTGAATTCTCTCCGGGAGAAGGTGAACAAGCCTGCACCGAGCGTCTCGACCCCAGAAAGCTTCACAGCAGAAGAGTTGAGAGCTCGCCCGACTGATGCTGGTGTCGCCGAAGATGATGATGAAGAAGGCGACCCATGGGATGCTCTGGATCCCGATGAGCACGAGGGCCCATCTGTTGGCAAAGCCAAGGCAAGCCACGCAGCTCCGCCTGACCCCAAGGCGAAACCTCAGACGACGCAGGAGGATTCAACTCAGGCCACCTCAGCTGGTGAGCCCCTGCAAGAAAACGAGATCAAGGGTACCATCATTCCGAAACACGCACTTGGACACCTTGACAAATATCGTATCACTTTGGACGAAAACATAAATGCAGAAGTAGTTGAACATTGCGTCGTTGATTCCCATCCCTACGAATTGATCGTCAAAACCTGTTGGGAGATGGATGGGGCAAAAGAGCTGAGGTTCCCAGATCGCATGGACCGACACAAGACTAAGGTCAATGCAGTGACACGTGGACAGCCGGGTCAGGACACCTCTGGATTTGATGAAAACATGTGGCTTGACCTTGATGATTTCTTTCGAATGTTCAACCAAATGCTGCCAGCCAAGTTGCCCCGAATGACAGTTGAAGAGCTCATCTCATTGCTCTACTGGGACAGCAAGTGCCGTTTTGAGTTCCAGTGCATTGCCGGGTACCAGAAGGCAACCCGTAAAGGGTTAGCCTACTGGCCCATCAGGATCCGTGCAGTGCAGGGGCATACGAAACGTGCCATGAGTGCCGCTTCAGCTGAGGACACGTTCAATGCAGTGGAAATCTATGCTCTGTCTGGAGCAGCAGCGATCCAGAAAATGAACGCCAAAGGTAAAAAGATTACCACTCCTCAGATGTGCCCTGGCGTAGTTTATCACAGGACTACAAAAGGCAATTGGAAGGGCATCATTGAGAATGGCTTCGTGGCTGGAGGAGGAGAACGAAATTCATCAGGCAGAGCTCACTCCTATTTTAGCGATGTTCGAGTCGATGAGAACGAGTATGTGAGCGGGTTGCGTGCTGAAAGACCCATTGAAATCAGGGTAGCAATGGCTGAAGCTGTCAAAGCTGGCATTGTGTTTTTCAGGACGGCCTCTGACGGCATTTTGACAAGTGATGTCGTACCGCCTCAATACATTATCTCTGTCGATGATACTGCCAAGAAGGTGAATTTGTATCGTCGCCAGCAGGAGGTTGCACAGTCTGCAGCGAGCAGTGGGGGAGAAGTTGGAGTCCAGCAGCTTGTCGAGACCTTTGAGGCCAAGGCATCAAAACGGACTGGTTCCACGTCTCCGGCCGCCTCAACTGGCGCGCCCACTGCAACAGCATTTTTCCCAGGGAAGGTGAAGCCTCCGCCACCAAATGTGGCCCAACTTGCCGGTATGCCTGGATATGCAAGCAGCAGATTGTTGCCCCCTCCTCCGAAGGGTGAAGCTCCAAAGCCTCCTGCAGCAAAGGTTGAAAGCCCAAAGACACCGCCGAAAGCGCCTCCAAAACCATCACCGAAGGAAGGGACTTCTGCACCTCATGCACCAGAAGTTCCAAAAGCTGTGACCTCAGAAGTTGATGCAGCAGCAAAGGATGAACCTGCAAAGAAGAAGGCAGCCCTGACAAGCGTGCCCGCAGCTGTGCCTGCGGCATCATCAGCTGCGGCCTTCTTGGAGCCTGTTCCAAAAGTTGCACCACCAAAGGCAGCGCAGAAAGATCCAAAAGCTCCAGTTGCAGAGTCACCCAAAAAGACGCCAGCATCAACATCAAAGTCACTGGTGCCAAAGCAGAAGTCTCGCCCTAAAAGCGATGACCAACCTTCGAAGAAAGAGGTGAAGAAGGAGGACAAGAAGCCGGTGCCGGTCAAGATTGAAGTCACGCAATGTTCAAGATGTTTTGCACAGACTTTCAAGGGACAGATTGAATGCGATGTGTGTGGATTGATGCTCGAAGGGGTGAACAAGGCCGACCGAACCAAGATTGCAGAACGAAGGAAGGCCGCCCTTCACAAGCTGGGCTTGTACTATGATTTTCGTGGTGAGTACCTGCAGAGCATCACACATGGTCAGCTTGAATCTTTGGGTTTGTTGGACGACCAGGCAAGGGGAAGCTCAAGTCCGGAAGCCGGCTTGTTGGCAAGGGCGAAGAGTCGTTTCGACCGTGCCTTGAGCTTAGGCTATGTGTCTGTGGCTGACAGGTTTGCCCAGGACGCCACATTCGCAGAGAGCGTGCTGAACGAGGGGGAGAACGAGTACGATTGTGAAAGGTACGACCTCCTCAAGTCTGCACATTTGCCAAAGCCGGGTCGCACCAAAGCTCAGGTCAAGATGGGTGTTTCTGAGCAATCTCAGCTGGAGCACAATGCGATGAGGCTGGTTTACTTGGATTTGGCAAGCCGTCTTGATGTCCCGAAATCATTCAGGTACATTGACCAACCATGGTTCTACATGTACCGTACGGAAATCTACTCAGAAGAAGAGTACATTGACTACCTCAACCGGAATCCTGGACACAATCTTTTGTTGTCTTGTACTGGTGTTGACAACATTGCCGTTCATGATGCAGAACGTCATTTGAGGTGGATTAAGGGACAAAATGAGGAGCTGTACAAGCAGAACGCAGCAGAGAAGAAGAAACAGTCTGACAGGGCCCGCGAACAGAACGAGGCCAAGCGCAAAGCTGAGCAGACTGGTGCGTACGGCCAGGGTCCCTCCAAGAAAGGCACCGCCAAACCGGTTGCCCGACCATCCACCGTAGAGGTAGCTTCATCATCAACGTCTGCAAGTCAGTGGATCAACCGCCCTCAGCAAAGTCAGTCCCACGATGATCGCCGTTACACTGGAGAATGGCAGAAGTGGCACGGGCGCTGGTATGAGAAAGTTATCAGGCATGGCCGAGTTGAGTGGGAAGAGGGATAAGTTGTGAAACTGCTTGCATTGACGATCGGTTTTTGTATCATAGCCGCTGTTTGGGTTTCCTCAGGTCGCGCAAAAGAGCCAGGAGCGGTAAGGCAGGTCTTAAAGACCTCGCCCTGGTAAATGGGCAGCCTTGCCGTGACCGGCTCACCTGAGGGGGGTGTAATTGCACTCCACCATAAACCCTATGTAAACTAGTATGCATTACAGCATTGCGGCTCAGGAGAAAAAGCGCTGGGTTGCTAGCTTAACGGTTGTATTGTTTTGCCCCCATAGGTTTATCAGTCTATTTGGGATTATAACATAACCCCAGCTGAAACCTGAAAATACAATATTTGGGGCCAGCTTCTCCCCCGGATATTAAATACACCCTAATAATAAAAACGACCCCCAGGTTTTATTATTTTTTGGAGGGACGTTTAATATTAGAGTGAAGGGATTATGTCAATGCCAATTCCAATAATCGAATCCGCAGTTTTGGTTCTTGGTTCATGGTGCAAGAGTATTTCCTTGTACATTTGCGACTTGAATTCCTTATCACATATCTTTCGTATTACAATATAAGCACGATTCGAAAAAAACAAAAAAAAACTACATTTTTCCAGTGAAAGGAATGTTCATTTACTACTCTTATAGTCCATATTGGTTTGCTTTAAAAATTCTTCCGGATTCGACATGTCCTAATCGTCCAAGCCGTGATGAATCGGAACTGGTGTTGCTGGCGCACCTTGACAGTGACGTGAAAAAAAGTTTTTGTTAATGACAACGAATATCAAACTATGAAATAGAATAACAAAACCCTTTTGGTTGAATAATGTTGAATATTTTCCGGAAATCCAATGGATATTAAATGGATCACATTGACAAAATTGAGCTGTCCTCGACGATTCGACAAGTCACATACCGCTCAAAAGCGGTTCTGGCGCCGCTTTTTGCACCAGTTTGCCATGCTCCTCACTTCATTGGGTCCAACTTGAAGATAGTCCGCGTTTCACGGGCATTAAACCAAAGTGGAGCATCTCAAAAAGCCAGCTTCCGAAGTGCGAAGCCGATGTGCAGCCCGTTGTGGCCCGTTGTGGCACAGAACTTCAACACTTCGGAAGCTGAGGAGTTGATTTTGATGTTTTTCAAGCAAAAAGCCCAAGCTCGGCTGTGCACAGCGGCTTTTTGAGACCCCCAAAAGAGATGCTCCCGACTAAAAGTTCTCCTCCACATTCCTTGAGGAAGTGGTGAGAAATTTACTGAGCCACGCCATGTGCCGATTGCACAATTGACACAAAAAATCATCTCGACCGCATCCATTTGAAAAGCTGGCTGTCATTTGTGGCTTCATCCCAAGCATTCCCAAAGCAACATGAAAATATGATGAGGGGAATATCATCCAAATCATCCATTAAAACCACACCCATCCATATCATCCATACCCCATTTGTGGATACACCAAGAAAAGTCTCCCCGATTTGCTGAGTTGGTCTGACTTTCCGCCGGAATTGACAAAGGGATTACCCGGCCTGGTAAACATACAAAAAGCGAACTGGAACATGGCAGAAATCGTTGAAAGAGAGCCATTACTGTATTTTCATGTTGATTTTCCAGTTCGTTATGTAAACGTTTAATGTTCTTCTATTTTTCAATAGAAATCGTTGATACTTAGATGCTATCCAGGTCAACCCAAAGGAAGGAAACAACTTAACCAACCGGCTGGATGACAACTTTTTACACTATTTGGGGGCTGCCTCCCTTATTGATGAACCATGGGTTTTGAAAATCCCGGGTTAAAAAATCTCATTATTATCCCTATTAAACTGTAAAACCATATAAAAAACTATATTAAACCACCATTTAACCTCCATTTTTTGGTGATAAAGAACCCACCTTGGATTGCCAACAGAGCCCCCAACGCCGTTGTGCCCTTGCGCTGCAGTTTTTGTGGCTCAAGGTAGCTCAATACAAATTCACATTTTTTCCGGAACCGATGGGATGCAATCACGGCAAGCAGGCGCCAGGGCAAACACATAGATTTCCAGGGCAGTATCAATACATATATATATATGAATGAATGAGATATTATTGTTAGCTCTATCTATCAATCTATCTATCCATCTATCCATCCTTCTATCTATCTATCTATCTAACTATCTATCTATCTATCTATCTCTATCTATCTATATCTATCTATCTCTATCTATCTATCTATCTCTATCTATCTCTATCTATCTCTATCTATCTCTATCTATCTCTATCTATCTCTATCTATCTCTATCTATCTCTATCTATCTCTATCTATCTCTATCTATCTCTATCTATCTCTATCTATCTCTATCTATTTTTATCTATCTCTATCTATCTCTATCTATCTCTATCTCTCTATCTCTCTATCTCTCTCTCTCTCTCTATCTGTCTATCTGTCTATCTGTCTATCTGTCTATCTGTCTATCTGTCTATCTGTCTATCTGTCTATCTGTCTATCTGTCTATCTGTCTATCTGTCTATCTGTCTATCTGTCTATCTATCTATCTCTCTCTCTCTCTATCTATCTATCTACCTATCAATCAATCTATCTATCTATCTACCTATCAATCTATCTATCTATCTATCTATCTCTCTCTCTCTCTCTATCTATCTATCTACCTATCAATCAATCTATCTATCTATCTACCTATCAATCTATCTATCTATCTATCTGTCTATCTATCTATCTATCTAGCTAGTCTATCTAGTCTATCTATCTGTGGCTATCTGAATCTGTTTCACTATGGATTGTAAGAGACATACATATGACATGTATATAAATATATATTATTAGACATATGACATATAATATATTATATGATATGTGAAATATGACGTAGGATGCACTATATGTTTGATATGATAGGCTGGCTATAAATTCTACACCGTCTATGATACATGATATATGACATATGACCAGTCTGTAATATGAGCAGTTTTCAAAACCCGTGTTGGTTGATCCAATCTATTGGGGATTATCACAATCCACTATGGGAAATCCGAATTTATATAACCAACCCGTATAAACGGACGACAAACATAGAATTTTTAATATTGTTCATACTATGACATGTCATATATATCTATATCTATATATATATATGAGATGATATGCTATACATGAAAGGTGACACCTATTACATATATCTTATGATATGTTATGTACGATATATTTTGTCCGATAAGATATACATAGCATATATCACACATTATAAACATTATACGTTCGACATTACATATTGTGTATCACATAGTGTATGATATATAAAAAAACCATATATGTGTATATATATATATATATGCATAGAGAGGCAACGCCTTGCATCAAGAATTGATGAAATGCTACACCCTCATTGGCTTATAACGCGCGCTGTAGGGGGAACATCGATGAATTCATAGTACCTTCCTGTAAACTAACAAAACAATCTGAAAAACCCACCATTTGTAGATCGTTTTCCGCACCAGTTTCCTAATGGTGTTTCCACATCTATGTTAGTCTACTCTAGGGTAATTCCGAATGCCGAATGAAAAATCGATATATCTTCCGTACCAGGTTTCGGTCAAGAACCCACCACCAAAAAGTTCATCACCAATCAACAATTGCATGTAACTTTAACTTACCATCTGGTTATTTAACATAGCCATTGAAAATGGCCCATTTATAGATGGTTTACCTATTAAAAATGGTGATTTTCCATGGCTATGTTAAATAGCCAGATGGTAGATGGGTGACCATATTGCTATAACCCATATCATAAGCCACTGTCAGGCAACACCTGTAGAGGCACAGTCGGAGTGGCGGAGTGGTGCGGCGCAGGGCATTGTGTGCGGTTGATGTGACCATTGGTTGGTGATGCCCCCTAGAAAACCCAGGAAAATGCTTATTTAAGCAACATAAATTGGGATTGAATGGGATTTATAGCTGATCTATGAACGCTAAGTCGACATATCACTTGGTTAAGTATGTTTTGTAGGGGATAGAACTATAGTGAGTAGGATGAAACAAAACCAACTTATAACTGGGGTGCCTCGCCTTTCATGAAGTGAAGGGGTTGCAACATGTTGCAACAACTTCCATGCTTTTTGGAACTTGGCTGGCTTGGCTGTCGCCCAAAAGTTTTCATATCTATGAGTCTATATATCTTATTTCTTAAGAATTCAGTTGGCCTGAGGAAATCACCTGAGAATTTTTTTGGGCAGGATGTTCTTGATGGCACCGAAACACCAAACTTTTGCAGCTCGGGTTTGTCTCTTGGAAATCCGGATTGATGACCTGGCTATGCCAAGCCCGGGCAGCTACCATAGCCCATCGATCCTATAGGTCCTATGGAACTTGACCATGGCACACATTAAGTTGGTGAAAAAATATGTATATATATATATATATGTATATATATATATATGTATATATATATACATACATACATACATACATACACATATATCCACCATATATCCCAGGATATTCCTCGTATTCTGGTCGGCGAATTCCTGTATACCAACACGCAACAACCGCGCTGCAAGCTGCGAGGTGATTCCAGGTGACACGGTGCAGAAAAGACCTGGCAGCACGGCTCAGCAGAAAGGATTTTGGACCAAATCGAAGGCTGACGCGCTTCAGGCGCTTGCGCGGACAATGTGGAGAATGTGTTTTCGGACATGTTCAGTGGAGAGTTTCCCAGATTCTGACAGGGTTTGAAACACTTTCAGAAATCCCCACCCATTATAGTTGGTTTATAAAATCCCCGTCAAATCTCAATATAGTAGGCGATATACCATTATATATCATTATAATATATTATAATCCGTTATAATTCATTACAGTCCCTTATAATCCACTATAATCACCTGTAACAGTCTCATTAAACTTTACTCTTCACTAAAAAGTAGTCTCATTCTAATCCATTTCACTTTAAAACCCCTTAAAACCAGGCCATTTCACTCGGTTTTCCCGGCGTCGCGAGGAAGCGGTGGATGTTGTCTTTAATAAGGCCACGGCTGGGCCGCTGGATGGATGGGATGGGATGGGGAACTGGCAGGGCATCATCGATGTCAGGCTGGAGAGTCTCTGCTGGGTATGACCTTCTCGTTCACCATCGCGGAACCTGGGCGAAATTTCGAGACCGAAAAAAGCGTTGATTAGCCTCTGGTAATTTAACATAGCTGGCAGTGTGTCAAAACCTTGTACCCCTGGTGAACATCAAAATATCTGGTAAATGGATGTTCATCCCCCTAAAAATGGTATTAATAGGTATTGATTCATAGCCAGCTATTGAAAATGACCATAAAAATAGTGCATTTTCCTATTGAACATGGTGATTTCCATATAGTTATGTGGCTGTTTACCAGAGGGTAGCCTCTGGGAAACGTTTACAGTTTGCGAACTTGAAGCCATGGCCCAGTCGAAATAGTTGGAATTTATCCAGCTACATAGCATGGTGATTTGCCAGTTCGTTATGTCAACGTTTACCAGAGGGTATTGTTAAATTTCCAAGTACGGAGATTTAGTGATATTTAACTGACCTTGAGAGTGATATCCACTATAAATATCTATCATTGATTTTGTTTTTTTATCGATAAAAAACAAAATCAATGCCAGATCTTGAGTGATATCCACTATAAATATCTATAAATATCTATAAATATCTATAAATATCTATAAATATCTATAAATATCTATAAATATCACTAAATATCTATAAATATCTATAAATATCACTAAATATCTATAAATATCTATAAATATCTATAAATATCTATAAATATCTATAAATATCACTAAATATCTATAAATATCTATAAATATCTATAAATATCTATAAATATCTATAAATATCTATAAATATCTATAAATATCTATAAATATCTATAAATATCACTAAATATCACTAAATATCTATAAATATCTATAAATATCTATAAATATCTATAAATATCTATAAATATCACTAAATATCTATAAATATCACTAAATATCTACAAATATCTATAAATATCACTAAATATCTATAAATATCACTAAATATCTATAAATATCTATAAATATCACTAAATATCTATAAATATCTATAAATATCTATAAATATCTATAAATATCACTAAATATCCACTATAAATATCTATAAATATCACTAAATATCTATAAATATCACTAAATATCTATAAATATCTATAAATATCTATAAATATCACTAAATATCTATAAATATCTATAAATATCTATAAATATCTATAAATATCACTAAATATCTATAAATATCTATAAATATCTATAAATATCTATAAATATCTATAAATATCTATAAATATCTATAAATATCTATAAATATCTATAAATATCACTAAATATCACTAAATATCTATAAATATCTATAAATATCACTAAATATCTATAAATATCTATAAATATCACTAAATATCTATAAATATCTATAAATATCTATAAATATCTATAAATATCACTAAATATCTATAAATATCTATAAATATCTATAAATATCTATAAATATCTATAAATATCTATAAATATCTATAAATATCACTAAATATCTATAAATATCACTAAATATCTATAAATATCACTAAATATCTATAAATATCTATAAATATCACTAAATATCTATAAATATCTATAAATATCTATAAATATCTATAAATATCTATAAATACCTAGCAAGCTATATCCAACTAGAGGCTGGATCCTCTCCACTCTGATCCGAGGATCCGAGATTGAAAGGCTGTCCATTGATTGGATGTTCCTCAGGGTTTGGCAGCCTATGTGGCTACACCATGGACGACATTGTTGGAAGGCAGGGGAATTGATATGAGGATATGATATGATCGGATACATGATTTTTGATGGGCTTGTGATTCGGTGTATTTCATGGGATATATCAATATAATTCAATATATATATATATACGTATATATATATATATGTATATATATATATATGTATATATATATGATTATATATATATACATATGTGTCATGAACATTAACAGTGAACAAACTGTACTTGGATTTCTTGATTTTGTGGTATTCTATGGGGTAAACAGCCAGCGGCTCCAGCTGGTTCCAGCTGGCAGGAACTGTCGATTTCTGGTCGATCCCGTGCCTCGAGAGAAGATCGATCCCAAAATGCGAAAGCATGCCAAGGACCGGGACAAAACGTATGGTATATAATGGGATTTATAGTGATTTAATGGGATTTTATAGTGATTTAATGGGATATTAATGGGATACCTCTGGTTATGTCAAATATAGCTATTGAACATGATCATAGAAAGTTCATTGATTTACCGTTCTTAAAGATGGTGATTTTCCAGTTCGCAACCATTAATTTACCAGAGGTATTGGTCTGGAGTCTGGATCAGGATTAGATTCAGGGAACCATGTTCATGCTTGAGAATCGTTAAGCATCGTTAAGCATAAACGGCTAAGAATGGTCACGAATGGGAACCAATCAACAGAGAAAAACATGGCACATTTAGTTGGATGATTTTCCCAGCGAACAACACCTCCATTTCGTTCGGGTTGTCTCAGCTAACAATGTTTGATTGCGGGTGTGTATTCATAAATATCCCATTAACACCCACTTCATATTCCATATATTCACCAAACAAACGGGATATTTTTTTGCGCGATTTCAACCGAAAAACCCGAGCGAAAAACATTGCAGGATTTTTGCGAAGCCATTGCGGTTGGCAAACAATTCAGGCGCGGGGCCTGGGTCAATCGCCGAGCAGTGGCGTTTGAGACACCCGAGCGGTTGATGATTATATAAGTGGATATATTATAACTGATGAATTAGATGGTTGGTATATGACTACTCTGGATACTATAGGCTTTTAACCATCAAAGATGATGGGGACA